AATTTCACACCCACTTGGTTCAAAAGAAACTAAATAGTACATAAAAGCAAACTAATATTTAGAAAACAACTAAAATTAGTCTTGTAAACTCCAGCTAATCTGATTAAACTACAACTGGTTCACTTTAGAAAGCTCTCAAATGTCTTCCAAAGTCATGTCAGTCAACTCCAAGTCTCATCCATCTCTTCATCTGCCATCAGGTCATGCTACCATATTCCCACAGCATCGACCTACTCCAATCTGTCCAAAATAAGTTTAATTTAGACCAAAATCCACTCAAAATAGGTTCATCATTTACTTCAGCATAAAAATAAAGAAAAGAGATAAAATGACTCAAAGTTGGGATATAAATAGAAAATAACCTATCTAAAGAGAATAAAAAGTACTTTACGTACTAAATACTTAGTACGTATCATAACCCCTCAAGCTTGAGGGTGTGATAATTCTCAATTTTGAGAGTTATTTATTGTTCAATGCTCCTATTTTTGTGTGTTATTATACCCATTATGCATTTCTCTATTTCTACTATGTTCTTTAATTTTATTATGAGCTAATCACTGCTTTGGGTGTGGTTGTGAGTCAAACTTAAGATGAGTAGGAAACACTTAGGTGTTGCCAATATTACTAATTCTTAAGCTTGGTCAATTGAGTCAAGACTTAAACTCAAAGCGGATAATGCGATTACCTTGAAGTGTTAATAAATCCTTGATCCAGAGATAGACGGATTTGAAATACGGCTTAAGTGATGCATAAAGATTTAAGAAAGTATTTGATAATCTTGTAGAGATACATATTTTGTATGATTTTAGCTAAGGTTCAAATATTGGTAGAGATTTGTATTACAAAGAGATTTGAGTATAAATCTTCGTACTAATGAAACTTGATATTTTTAATCCACTTAGCTAAATCGACAAGCTTGGATTTGAAATACGACTTAAGTGATGCACAAAGATTTAAGAAAGTATTTGATAATCACGTAGAGATACATATTTTATATGATTTTAGCTTAGATTCAAATATTGGTAGAGATTTGTATTACAAAGTGATTTAAGTATAAATCTTCAAACTAATGAAACTTGATATTTTTAATCCACTTAGCTAAATCAACAAGCTTAGAATCTGCAATGGTGGAACCTTTGTGAATACTATCTATAAAAATTCATTTTTGAGAGACTGTAATTTTTATAAAAGTTCCATAAGATTCTGACTATTATGTTACTACCATTCTATTAAAAGAAGCTTACACCCATACCCATCTTTTTAATTAAAGTTTATTTTTGTCTTTTAAGCAATTCTGCCTACAAAAACATGATTTTGTCTCACAACCAAAATTTGCACAGGAAGTTCATGTATTTCTCCGAATTTCAGTAGCTAGTCCTCGTAAAAACGATCTTGGTATACCACCACTTTATTGTTTGTAGCAATCATAGTGTTTGGTGTATACTTGCACCGCCACTGTGAGAACACTATCACACTTTAGATGGAGTTATATGGTTATTACGCTAACAAGTTTTTGGCGACGTTGCCGGGGATTGGCATGATTTTATATCATGAGATTTTGACTTTCATTTGAGCCTTGGTCGTTTGTTTCTTTTTCGAAGCATTTTCCTTGTTGTATGCCACGGCTACAACATGGTGCACTTTTACATCTTGATTTTGAGATTTGACGTAAAAGAGGTAGAAATAATCAGCAAAACCCTGTTGTAAATCAAACTATGGCTGAGCATAGAAGGGGAGGTAATCCCCCACCACCACCGCCTCCGGTTAATGAAACAACAGTAAATGTAGTTGATAACAAAGATAGAGGAATACGAGACTATGCAACCTACGAGTTTGATTAGTTAAAATCGGGTATTCTTAGGCCCAACATTACAACCCAACATTTTGAATCATAGTTAGCAATGTTTTAAATGATCCAAGCGATGGGTCAATTTAGAAAATTACATTCAGATGATCCGCACTATCACTTGAAATCATTTTTAGAAATGACAAATCATTTTCGTATTCTCATAGTTTTAGAGGAAGCCTTACAGTCAATGCTCTTTTCTTATACATTGATATATCGATATTTTCGAAAAGGATTCAAATAGTTTGTTTTTCTTCCAATTCTACTGTTTACAAAATATTTAACCCCATTAAAACATGTTAATTATTCTAGTTTCTAAAATATTTCTATTTTCCATTTACAATATTTCCTATTGAATTATATGGTTTAGATTCTTTTTCAATTTCCTATGAATTGACCGTATTCTCGATTGATATATATATATATATATATAATATATATAATATATATATAGACACACACGTGTGTATATATTTATATATATATATGTATTCATAGATAGTTTGAATAAAAAACCAAAAGAATTATATCATACTTTCACCTACTTTTATGAAAATTTTGAATTTCTAAATTTTTGTATTTTATTTTGTTATATATGATTATTATTAATTATTACACGTAAGATGAATTAAGCAATTTAGAATATTTGTGAAGGATAATATGGAAGGTTGACCTCCTTAAAGTCTAGAGAAAGAGACCTACACATCCAAACAAAGTGGATTGGGTGAGACAAGAATGAGATACAATTATTTAAACACATATTATAATATATATATATATATATATATATATATATTCACCTAAAAATTCACCTAAAAATTCCATCATCATTTCAACAACTTAAATTTTTATAGAAAATTGAAAAATTCTCTTGTATTATTCTAAAAGAGTAGATTTTGAATTTATTTCCATGTTTGTCGTTTTCTATAAAAATTGTTTATAATCTTTATTTATTTATTTATAATTTTGTCTTTTATGTTTGTAAAATTCAACGGTTTTAGTCTCTTATATTAATGGTTGTTATGTTTTTCTGTTAAGGATATTTTACTGTGGGGCATTTAGTCGATTTACATGTTTGTCTCATTATTTACTGAAACTTAAAAACAAATTGTAAATGCATATATGTATGAGTTAAGAGAAAGGGGAGATCCATCTCCGGTGCCCTCCCTCCAATCACCAACGATTGTACGACCTAACCCCTCCTCACCATGACCAAGCCTTCCCCCTCCTCACTATGACCACCACCACCGACCCTTTCTTCACTCTCCTTCAAGAAGAAAAAATCTGGTTTTGATGGAATCCTTAGTCTCTTACCTCGTCTCCCCTCACTAACACCCTCCCTTCCTCTCCCCTCAGCAACACCTCATTAACACCACATCATGTATATACTCTTACCTCATTGCACATGGAAACTTCATCGTGTCTTAGTAATTTGCTGAATCATTTCTTCCTCTGTGATCTAGAATGAAATGATGCAACATCCATCTTCGTTCCCTTTGTGTTCACAAGGAAGATACTTGAAGAACTTGAGCTAGAGGGATTGAACAAGCCCAATAGCATAACTAGATTATGTTCTTGTTGTTTATGCCTCAAAATCACGAACATATCAGATGATTACAACCCAAAGTGCTTTTTTCTTTTTCTAGGGGGTTATGTTCTTGCTCTTCATGCCTCAAAATCATTTTTTTCAATGAGTGTTCATGTTGTTCACGTCTGAATTCAATAAGTTTTGATTGGGCCAAAGATTTACAATTTTAGAGATATGATTAGAGCTTTGGTTCAGTTTAATGATGTTAGCCACATGATGTCTATAAATCTCATAGAAGTAGCGAAAACGACGGTGGCCAATCATGTCTCATTAGTGACAAGGATGAAACCGTTTGATATCGCGAATGTGGGAGATTTTTTTAATAACTAAAGACTAGGGATGATTTTCATTGAAAATGGCAAATGTTTGGGAGTAAGTCCAAAATTTACTATAATCTAGATCCTAATTTAATTGACTAATCCAATCATTTTAAAGTAAAATTATAATCATGATAGAGACCATTGTCAATCACAACTTGACGCTTATAAGTAGCCTATAAATCTTATTCGTTATTAATGTGAGACCAACTGTCATAACCCATACCCTTTTAATAAGCTTACAAGCTCACAAATTTCACTTTTCATCAATGTTGGATGAGTTGTCATAATTCCCTAATAATGAGATGATAAACAAAATCTATGGAATAGGATGATAAGTAGTAAAAAAGTTACGAGTATGTAGTGTTATTCATAATTTGAACAAATTCTCGAATAGATTGTTGCTAACATAATATGTAGGGAACTTATTAACCTTAATCACCAAAAAGGGTTTATAGTTCTATTCTACCAACCGATTCTCATACATATTTGAAGTAAATAGGTCTATAGTTTTATAAAGCTTCTAAAAGAAATTAGATTTTATGAATAATTGCTAAAGAGGCTCACAAAGTTGCACATAAAGATGGCTTATTTGTGAAGACTTTGAGAAAGTTTCCAATTCCATGGAGAAAATATATAGATAAACCTTTAATGATGCATATTTTATGGAACCTTCATACGATTCTATTAATAGAGAACACAAGATCAAAAGGAGGCTAAATAGTTTGTTGGTGATTAGAGTTTTGGTGTTTCTATTTAATGTTGTAACATCGGGTTCGACATTTAACCTCACGGAAGACATAACCTTGGGAAAAGTGTAGAGTAAGAATTACAGGAGGAGGTCTTGATCAACAAATACAAACAAGAGGTTTAGCACTACACACGAGGGATATCGTAGGAACCTATCTAAAAGAGTGCACACAACCAAAGCCAATTAGAGGGATTCTTATAGGAGGTAAGTCAATGCTCATAAAATTTATTGTATTAAGTTGAAAATAGGTTCTCTATCTAGGCGTGGACTTGCAAAGTAGGTGTGATACACCGAAATACAATAACAATTTCTCGTTTCATTATGATGATCCATTATTTTACTTATGCAAGTGTAATATCTAGTGTTATTAGGTTTTTGGTAACAATGAAAGTTTAGAGGCTTTTGTGTAATTTAGCTAATGTAGGGGGTTTAGTCTAAAAAAATTGAAATCATATTAGAAGCCTATGTCCCTTGCTATTCTCTCCTAAATCTATGGACTTCCTAAAGTTTGTGTTTTTGTGTGTGTGTGTGAATCGCTGGAAAGGAGGTAGCTGGAAGAAGAGAAGAAGTTTTGAAGAATTCTTTTTTGGTTTTGTCTTGTCTTAAGATATCAAGTTAAGAATTCTTCTCTTTGTTCTTTAAAATTTAGGGTTTCTTTTTCTATATTTGAGTTGGGGTTTGGAGTTTGTTTAAGTTCTTCATGATAGACCCTTAGTTGGTCAATTTTGAGTTTCATATCAATATTTAAATGATTGGATTAAGCATCCTTGTTGGTCTTCTTTAAATTATTTTGTGATTTATGGTTCCTCCATTTTATGTAGTTCAACCATTTTGATTAGGTTATCAGGAGTTATTGTATGTTAAATATTATTTGGAGGTTTCTTTGACCTAAAAAAATGTAATGGGATTGTTATTAAATAGTGTAATGGTTAGTTTTAACTGGATGCTATCAAAATGTTGAATTTGCGAAAACATGGTCGAATCAGAGACTTTGGGGAGTCCTGCAACTACCCTCTTAACTTCAAGTTGGGGGATAGGTCGCATAAGTCAGTGAGTAGTAATTTTTTTGACTTTTGATTCGTGATGTTTAAGGATTTGTAGGGTATCGTTTAATAAGGACCATAGGTTGTGTTTAGAGATAAGGAAAAGGGCTAACCATCTAGGTTGTAATAATTACCCTATTTTATATCAGGTTCGAGTGCTCGGTGTTGATATATATCCTAGCATATAAAGTTTATTATAACTCGATTCATGAAAGGTTAGTTTCCTTGTACTATTCACTTGAAATGCATATTCTTACCAAATCAACGGGCATATTATTGATTTTAGTTATTTGTTTATTATATTAGATATATGTGGTATTTAATCTTAGTCAAGTAGTGTCTTGGTATTGGTGATAAGGATCAAAGTAACTTAGACAACATGAGTGATGCGTTGAATGTGTTTCATATGGTTTCATAGTCGATATTGATTGCAATCAAGTGAGAGTAATTATTTTAACTATGAATGAGACTGTTGTGGCTAGTTACTCTTTGTGGTGTAGTCTTGTGAGCCTACATCATCTTTAATTGATATAATTACTTTATCAAAATGATTTTATTGGATTCTTACTCTAACTGGGAAATTTACTAGACCATATGGTCTAACCCTCATTTTGTTGATATATGCATTTCAGGGCAACATCTTATAGAAGGCAAATAGAAGGCTAAATTTTGAGGTTTGCTAGTTGGATTTCCTTATATTAGAGGCTAGCACACACAGAGAGAGAGAGAGAGAGAGAGAGAGAGAGAGAGAGAGAGAGAGAAAGAGACTTTGATCTTATTTTCTCTCTTTTGTTCTTTTTGTGTAAGAATCATGCTAGTATGTTGATGTAGTTTTACTTTGAACCTTTATAACTTGTTTGGTTGGGACCATCTTTGTACAATTGGTTAAGTCTATTATATTTATATCATGAAATCGGGTTTATTTTGAGTAAGTTGTTTTAATCCGGACAAAGATGTTGACTCAATTCTAAGTGTTAACCGGACAAAGCTTATACAAGGCGTTATCCGGATTGTTGACCGGAGATGATATAACCCTTTTGATATTCCAAGTGTTTGTCTGGATTCTATATCCGGACAAGGCTGACCACACTTCAAATCCGGTTAATATGTTGAATCATTTTAGAGAGATGTAATGGCGGTGTAACCGCGAGAGAGATGTGTTGGTCCCAAAAGGGTCTACAAGAATACTAAACAGTTTGTAGAAGGGGGGGGGGGGATGAATACAAACA